TTTATCAGTTACAGAGACAAGCAGGAATTTATGACACCTAGGTCGCAAAAATGTCCCCCTTTGATACCTACAACTGTCTTATCCACAAGTTGCTCTAGACCTATTAATTACAAATGAAATGTACATACACCAGGAATTCTGGTAAATATATAAATTTGTGGACTGTATATTAAAATTAATAAATGCTTATAAATATATACATATACATAACAGAAGGAGAATATCTTAAAATCACTCACCAATTTGACTGGAGATCAAGGTATATCATACTCAGAAAACCTCACTGTCTATCCATGAAAATAACACTGGCCAGAGTTAAACATAAACAAACTTATCTGAGGTTCCTTGAGCTGTCTTGTCAAGTCGTCTGATATCTCAAGTTATGCAGGAATGCACATCCAACAATTTCGCCTCCTATTTGAGAGGTGTCAGCCCAATTTTACCTCTAGAGCACGAAAATTCTTCCCATTATTCACTAACGTCTGTTACTTAATTCAAACAACAGTGGCGAGTCCCTTCTGCGCAGGCGCAGGCTTCCCATTTTTTATGACATAAATTTTTATTAAATACAGTATGTTACACTAATTTACATAAAAAATGCACTGTATTTTTTCTGGAAAATACATTATTTTCCACACTGTGGCTGGCCGGAGTTTGTTGCTAAACGACTCAAATTACTCCTTCCTTTAGGAGAAGATTCCAGCCATTTCTGGCTTGAGTGGCTGTTCTCCTAGTAGGTCTTACTACGATTTCATCTTCCGGCATCACTTGGTCAGCGTTATCTTCCATATCACTCGTGTCACTTTCCCTCAGATTTTCATTTACGTTTGATTGAACACCATTTAATTCCAAGGGATTCAATTTATTAATTGTGTGTAAACTTTCCTGGCCATGACACAACACTTTGACATTCCTAACAACACCTTGTGCATCTGGGTACAATGTCAATACTTTGCCCAGAGGCCACAATGTTCGATGTCGTTCAGTATCAATCAACACAATGTCACCTGGTTGAATGTTCTGTCGATTTACTGCCTCTGTCGCTCCATAAAGGTGTTCACATAGTGTAAGAAGATATTCCTTACGCCACTCATTAGACCAATGATCAATTACTTTATTTAACATTTTAAATTTATCACACAACACTGTCGCATCATTGTAATGTTCATCACTTCCTTCCAGATTATCTCTATAGACAGGGGCAGCTTCCAATTTCCTTCCACATATTAGGTGAAAAGGTGTTAATACATCTGCCTTAGGTGTATCGCTCATGTAGGAGAGAAGCCTATTATTTATCCGTTTTTCTGCCTCCACTAACACTGTATGGAATTCTTCCAAATTAATTTTCTTCCGGTAGTATTACTTTACGGAAACACGGCTTCATTGTGCCTATAAGTCTTTCGTACAGCCCCCCCTGCCAAGGGGCTCTAGGAGTAATAAATTTCCAGGTACAACCTCGTTGGGGGTTAACGAGATTGACTTCGTTACTATTATTTATTCAATCAAATGTTGAGCACCTGTTTCCAAAATTTGTGGCATTTTTTCCGAAATCAGTAATCTGGACGGATCTCTAGCTGCAAATTTCGAAACAGCTGTATAACTTTTCTGCAGACAAGTCCTGTGACACTTCTAAAATGAAACTGCCCTAGTAGCAGTACGTTTGTGAACATATGAAACTTACACTTTCAGGGAACAAAATCTGAAGTACCTGTTAGAACTATTGGACCACTATAGTGTAACCTGTTACTTCAAATGGTTTCACTAATTGTACAATGCTCCTTTGGCAATGGTGAGGACCTGAGTACATATAGGATCTGGCATCCACACGGCAAACATATTACACAAGATTTAATTCACCCTTTTTACACTTTGCCGTCCTTGTCGGGATCAAGAAAGTTTCCCTAATACAATTTAAGGTTCTTCTTTGTACCCCCCATGCATTACATTTTATGGGATTAGAACATTAAATTTGTTAGTGTTGCAGTAGTGAGGCAGGGTAAAGATAGGGTGTTTAGCATAATCACCAATTCAGATTTTTGTAACTTCCTTGCACCTAATTACATTGTTCTCTAAATGCAGCCCCAATTCTCTATTATGGAACCTTTCAAAATTGCTTTCCATCATCAATTTTAATCTCTTTTCATAGATACTTCTTGTTCCTCCTTTACAATATTCAAGAGGATGTGAAACCTTATATGTAGATATTCATCTTGTTTAGAAATTTAAACACCAAAATCTTTAGTTACATTGATTAGTTTGGGTAAAGAACAATACTCAATTTTTATAAATGGATAAGGAAGGACAAAACTATTGGAGTGGTGAGTTCCACAGTAATTTCAACGAGAGCTAATTATACGCCTTGTATAGGCCAATTAGGCTTTATTTACATTCAGCTCACGGTCCTTTTAAACCATGATACAGCTTGTTACAAAAAAAAATGTTTTTAGCATAAGGTTGTAAACCTTAGACAAGAAATCTGCTGGATTCTCCTCCAGGTACATGATTAAATGTTACCATATGCGACCAAACTATTATACTTCTCTTGCATCTGATTTAATTCAGCGACTCTGTTTTGTAATTCACAATTTTACAGGTTCCATTACGAATCCATTGTAAGGTACCTATTATCAGACCAAGCTTTACAGTGTCGCCTATATTTATCTCCTGCCAACTTATTTTCATGATATATTAGCTATTTGACACCTACATAAATGGCTGTTAAATTCCAACTGAGGCAAGGTACGTGATTTAATGGAGACAATTTAGCCTTAGACATAAAAGAGAAATAACACTATTACATTGAGATAAGCAACTGCTCCATCTATGCTAATTTTGAAGCATCACTAAAAATGTGGGTACATATTCCCATTTGGATTGGCCACCAGCGTGGAAACTCCAACATTGGAACTTTTTTCATAATCCACCAATTAATTCATCCCACCTGTTAATGAATTCCTCAGGTAGAATTGCATCCAAGCACATTTAAGTTTCCATGCCTTACTGTATTATTAATTTCCCTATTATTGTGAGGGTGTGACACTTAAACCTAGTGGATCAAAACATTTGAAACGTCGCAAGCAGACTCTCTTAGTTAATTTATTGGGCACACATACTTTAATATTTTATGTTTTTAACATTAAAAAATCTCTCTCAGTTTCCCAAGTTCATCCCTATACATTACTACATTTTGGCACTTCCATCTCCAGGGTTAATCTTTACTTATTTTGTTCTTTAATTTGGACGAATTCTATTCCATTCCATCAGAGGCTTATTTGCACTTTGCATTATTTCATTAGCTCTCATAAGTCATTACAGTTTCCTCTTCAGTTGACCCACACCAGGAAATTGGTACATAAAATTGTTTGATCATTACTTTACTCAATGGACTTTCCTATAAGGTTTATTGTGTGATTTAGCATCGCTTGAAGTAGGAAGGAAAACGGGATGTAGCACCAGAATAATACACTCCTAAGCAAAAGGTTTTCAAGGGCTAAGTAGGTCACTAGGATTATCTGGCATTAGGAAGAGGCGTACAATCCGGTTCAGCCTCTTGTAAACCCACTCTTAGGAAAGCTTTACTTATGTCAGCCGTTAAAGGCATTAAAGCTTCACCTGAAATTTAATAAGATATCTCCTAATTTTTCCGTTTCCCAAAAAACGACGGACCTGTCATCTACAGTCATTTAAACTAGGTACATTTTTTGTTACTCTGGCACTACAATTAAGCAACAATCTCAGAGGAGTGGTCTTAGGTATTCCTTCTTCACTCTGTAATGTGGCAAATTGTGACCATTAATTTTGGCTTGCTCAGGAGGTTCCTCTTCTATAAATTTATTAGTACTGCTCAGCAATTTTTTCATTTTAGGCAGTTAACATTCTGGTGTCTTACTCAGTTTGCGGAGCTGCAGCCTTTAACTGTTCATATGCCATCGTAAGTAGTGGGGCAATTACTGGATGGTTCAGTCTCCACGGGAAGTCGTACCCCGGTAATTGTTAGATTCAAATTTTACATCTCTCAGGTATTGATCCTGAGGAAAAGAATCCATTCTGGACTTTCTTATTTACATTTATTACCATTGCTGTCTAATTCCCCTCATTTTATGCACTGGCTAAACAACCTTCCTCTAAGGATGTAGTTTTCTATAGGGTTATGAATTATTATTACGAGGAATCTACCATACATTAACAAGGCCTCCTGCATGGTCTTCAAAAGGGTGGACACCACATTTCTTTTTACCATACCCTTTACAAGGAGCTAATAGTCATACCTACTCAAAAATTTACTTGGACCTAAGAAATCATCACTTTACCCAGAAGGTGCTCTAAATTTACATTATGTGAAAGTCTTTCTGTAGCTTTACTAAGCCCTTCTGTGATATTTTCTATGGAAGTCTAATCTACAATTACTGCATTAACACGTTTTTTCCTCATTTGCCCAACCATGACAGTTACATAAACAGTGTCATCCCCCCCCCCCCCCCCCCCCCCCCCCCCCCCCCCCCCCCCCCCCCTAAACATTGAGCACTTTATCCGAGAGAAAAACCAAGATAATTAAAAGTGTGGGATATCCCATCTGTACTTTCATTCCATCAAGACATTTACTTTTTTGGAAAAGTACGCTGGGATCCCTGGTCCATTAATGCATTACATTTTTTGATTTATGCCATTTTATCATCAATGTTTTACCTGTAATCAGGTAAGCCTACTTCAGCTAAACCATCATTAATAACATTGGGAAGCAATTTTTACATTAGTACTGTTGTGTCAGGATTGTCAAACATTATCATTATTATCAACATTATCACTATAGACCTTTACACATGTCTGTATGGTGTCTTCCTTTGTGACATTGATAACCAAAAGTTTTATTTGACTATGGCCCAGTCCTTTACATTGTGATTAACTAAAACTGATACATCTGTCAAGTTCCTCCAATCTTTCAACTTTTCTTTCCATGAATTGTATGCTATTTTTTTTGCTATTCTTAGAAATATGAGTACCGTTGCAGATAAAGGACAATCTCTATTTTCTTTGACTGGTTTCTTATTAATGGGATAATCATAGAAGGAGTACTTGTTCTTCTTACCTTGTGGGAGATTCATTATTTCCTTGATTTACTGCTAATGATATGCATCTATGCAACTCTTTTTAGGAAAGAATTTTGTTTTCTTATCATTAGGATAAATTTTCCCATTGTGAAACTTGACAGATACCTCAGAGTTATTATGTGGTTGTATCCTTAAATTGAGTTGGTTGGCTGGTCTCTGCAACTGAACAATTAATTCTTGTAGACTAGTCTTATTTCCTCCTACCAAAATAACCCTTGTGATACTTGTTCGAGATCCAGTCAAGTGTTTTAAGCTTATTTATTCTGTACAAATGGCACTCAATAACCAGTATGATTCCTTCAGATTATATTTATTACTTAAAGTTTGAGAGTGCTCTCCAGTTTCACTCTAAAAACTGCTGTAAACCTTTGGTAAGTGTGATCTGGAGGATTTTTAAATTAACAACTTGGATATTCACTAGATCAACCTACTTTGTTCTATATTACCATAAGTGATCTTCAACAAAGTCAAAACTGCTTCCTTGTAAGAGTCATTACATTGGGAAATGGCTAGTACTGAGTATGCGAGCATTCATCTTACTGTCCTTTGAGGAAAAATAAATTTGGTAAAGGCTAGATCACTCCTATCATGCACAGCTGCTTTAAAATTGACAAAACTCCTCAGTTTTCTCCAGGAGTAAATACAGGTAAAACTAATTCTGGGAGTTTTGGCCAAAAGCATCTTATTGGCTGGAGCAGACTGATTACTGCCTGGTTTACTCATTTAAATTTCTTTCAAGGCCTGACTTTTGCAAGAAAGACTCATTTCTTATTAATAATACTGAATAATCATAAGATCTACTTCAGTCTTCGTTTACACAGTTTACTAATAAATCTCCTTCATATTTGTTGTAATAGAATTTTTTGAATAAATCTATTCCCCAAAAGCATCTAAATCAATTTTAAATCATCATTATTCACATTTTCTTTGTTCATTAATTCCAAACATTTATTATATGCCTTGGTTACATGACTCTTTCTAGCTTGCAGTGATGCTTTCTTTGCTTTCTATATTAATATGTTTGTTTTCTATATTCATTTCTTCATTTTCAGCCATTATGCAATGTATTAAATTCAACTTAATTTATAACACTGATTATGTACTAAATTATGCACTTTATATAAGTAAATATTACACTTACTTTGAACAAATCCTGCTACACTTTGAGCTTGCAATTAACATGTAAGGAAAATTATAATATAAATTTTAAATAACACATTAAATAATGTTAGCTTACTCTTGAGCTTAGTAATTACACATGTAAATAAATTATATATAAATTTTAAATTACACATAACTACAACCTTTGCCATACTTGGCTCATCAAAATTAATATTATACAAATTAATTTAAATCCTTGCCAGAATTTGGCATGCAAAATTAATATTATACACATTAATATTAAATAGATACACTTGGGCTAATCAATTACACATTACACTGATTATAAATCTTGGCCAATTTGTCTATCAAATTAATATTATACAATTTAATATAAATCCTTGCCAGAATTTGCATAGCAAAATTATAATATTATAACTTTAATATAATCTTTAGTCATACTGACTTGGCTTATCCAATTTAATATTGTTATTAATTATAATCCACTTCAACATTTAAGTAAATTTGTTGAACTTAACATCACTTCCATCTGTCATTTCACATATAATTATTATAGTAATTAACTAATAATGACTCAACTAATTACCTCCGGTTCAAGAAGGACCAAACGGACCAAGTAAATGTGGAAAAAATTACATTTATCTGAATGTAACTCATTATGACATAACAGTAAATGATAACATAGATAAACTTATTATTTATCAGTTACAGAGTACAAGTAGGAATTATTGGACACCAAGGTCACAAAAATGTCGCCTTTGATACCTACAACTGTCTTATCCACAAAGTTGCTATACACCTATTAATTACAAATGAAATGTACATACAAAGAATTCTGGTAAATATATAAATTTATGGACTGTCTGTATATCACAAATAATAAATGCTTATATATATATATATATTATATATTATATATATATATATATATATATATATATATATATTATATATATAATATATATATATATATTTATATATTATATTATATATATATACATATACATAACATAAGGAGAATATCTTAAAATCACTCACCAATTTGACTGGAGATCAAGGTGTATCATACTCAGAAACCTCACTGTCTGTCCATGAAAATAACACTGGCCAGAGTTAAACATAAACAAACTTATCTGAGGTTCCTTGAGCTGTCTTGTCCAGTCGCCTGATATCTCAAGTTATGCAGGAATGCACATCCAACAATTTCGCCTCCTATTTGAGAGGTGTCAGCCCATTTTACCTCTAGAGCACGAAAATTCTTCCCATTATTCACTAACGTCTGTTACTCAATTCAAACAACAATGGCGAGTCCCTTCTGCGCAGGCGCAGGCGTCCACATTTTTTATGAAATAGATTTTTATTAAATACAGTATGTTACACTAATTTACATAAAAAATACACTGTATTTTTTTTGGAAAATACATTATTTCCCACCAACAATGTAGTAAGGAAAGCGAATGCCAGACTAAAGTTCCACTGCACACAGACGTTAGTGTCTACCAACTGAGGCTCGCAGAACCCTATGTCTAGCTCTCATACAATGTATTATAGACTACTCTTGCTTTTCGTGGTACTTTACCTTAACAAAAAAAATTAAATTTAGGCTATAAATCACCCAGAACAAAATGGTGAGATTCATTCTGGACTTGGGTTAAGAGAGCAGTAGGCCAGAATGAATTACAACAACTGGACATGATAAATGTTGAAGACAGAGGAAATCAACTAAAGATAAATAATGTTCATAAAATTGCTCACAACCAGTGTTCCAATATCTTGCTGCCAATTTTGTTAAGGCCGGGAACCAATGCAATTACAGAATAGGGTAAGGGAAACAATTTTGCAATACCTAGAGCCGTGGTAGGCTTCAAAGACATTATTCTATTCAGCAATAAAAGAGTGGTATAGACTGCCTGTACATAAGAACATAAGAACATAAGAAAGAAGGAACACTGCAACAGGCCTATGACCCATGCAGAGCAGGCCCATGTCCCCCCCGATTAGCCAATGACCCACCAGTCTGGTCATCTCCATCAAGGATGGGGGCACTGCAGCAGACCCAGCAGCACAAAACTAGTCAGGTCCAACTCACACTCACCTATACCCACTCATGTTTTTATCTAACCTATTTTTAAAACTTCACAACGTTTTAGCCTCAATAACTGTATGGGGAAATTTTGTTCCACTCATCAACAACTCTATTCCCAAAAGCAGTGTTTTAGTATACCCTTCCCTGAATCTAAATTTTTTCCCAACTTGAAACCATTGCTGCGAGTCCTGTCTTGGCTGGAAATTTTTAGCAAGCTATTTACATCCCCTTTTTTATTCCCGGTTTTCCTTTATACACTTCGATCATATATCCCTAATTTACGCTTTTCGAGAGAGTGCAGATTCAGGGCCCTCAGGGCTATCCTCATTGGGAAGATTTCTGATACATGGGATCATCTTTGTCATCCTCCTCTGTCGTATTCCAGAGCATTTATATCCATTATGTAATCGGTGACAGAACTGAGCAGCATAGTCTAAATGAGGCCTAACAAGGTATATAGGTTGAAGAAACCCGAGGACTTCTATTATTTTAACTTCTAGTTATGAAGCCAAGAATTCTGTTAGTTTGTTGCGAACACTAATGCACTGTTGTCTTGGTTTTGGATTACCGCTAACCCCGAACTCCTAAATCCTTTTCGCAATCAGTAGTATTAAGATCTTCAATATTTAGTTTATTGTGGCATGGTTATTTAACTGTCCAACATTTAGAACTTTGCATTTGTCAATATTAAACTGCATCTGCCACTTCTCCGACCATTGCATCCGTCTATTCAAATCTTCAAATCTATTCAAATCATTCGTAAGACAGGAATGCCCCTTGTAAAAAACCGTGTTGAGATGCATTAATCAATCTGTGCCTGTCAAGAATGCTACGAATTGCTTCGGCAATTATTGATTCCTAAATTTTTCCACTATGGAGTAAGGCTTATTGGTCTATAGTTCGAAGCTAAGGCTGTAACCTGCCTTGTAAATAGGTATTACATTTGCTATTTTCATTATCAGGCATTATGCCAGTTTGTAGGATATATTAAAAAGATTAGCCAAGGTATGCAAAGTTCCTTTTTACATTCCTTTAACACCCTTGTAAACAGTTCATCAGGCGGGGGGATTTGTTAGGTTTTAGTTTCTCTATTTGTTGGGAGGACCATGTCACTAGTTACCACAATCATACATAGTTTATTTTCATCTTTTCTACATAATCTATTAATTCAGGAATATCGCTAGTATTTTCCTGGGTGAAAATGAGAGGAAGTAGGTATTTAGAATTTCACACATATCCTTATCACTGTCAGTGATCTGACCAGAGTTACTCTTAAGGGGGCCCAATCGTGTCCCTAAAAGAACCCTTTTGGGTTAGTCTTTGAATCCCTTGCGCCCCTTAGCCTCATAATCCTTTTTGTTTTCATTTCCTCTCTTTATTTTCTTTTTAATTGAATATATTGATTTTTCTTAACTGCCCACCCCCTCTTTGATAGCCTATATATGCCTCTCTTTTGACCAATGAGATGTTTTAATCTATTGTTCATCCATTTGGAAAACATTTTTGTTAGATCTAATTTTCCCCACTCGGAACGAAAGTTGTTGGGCAGCTAGAACTATGCTCTGAAAAAACGTAATATTGGCAACCAAGATCACCTACCTGACCCCTAGTCAGGACATCCCAATTTTAGCCCCCCCAGGTAATTTTCGTTCCGTGAAGTCGGGCCAAACGAAAATTGGGACATAGATTTGATTGCGTTATCTGGGTAATTCCATGATATATTGAAACTAAGTGATTTGTGATCACCCTTTTCCCCCAAACTCATCATTAATTAAGATTATTAATT